CATTTGAATTTATGCGAGCGACAATAATCTGAACTGTCCTTGTTTAGGGTCCCAGCTTTATTATAGCAGACCGTGCTAATATAAATTTTTGTTGAAATACAAAAAAGACAAGCCACCAAAAAAGCGTATTGAATACGCGCTATTGTTACTAGTTAAGTAAGACAAGACATTGAGACATTGTCTGCTGATCGTCGAGGAAAGGGTACAATGTCCAATGCCCGCTGTCTATTGAGAATTTGTCCGAAGTGGTTGCTCTCGGTGTCCATTTTGATTGTTTTATTTAACTTAATAAATTGTTTTACTTAAACTGTTCAAGTGTTGAGTGGCTCCACGAAAAAGGAAAATTAACTTAAAAAAAGATCAGTTTTATTTTTTAAAGAAGAATTAAGAAAAGGAAGTCTATTTGGGCGTAAGATATTAGAGTCACTGAAAAATGCAGGCAGGCTCATCCGAAACAATTTAAGTTTGGTTTTCCCAGCACCTGCTATTAGACTTCAGTACTATTTTAATCTCTCATCCTCCTTTTTATCAGGAGACAAGACATTTGCATTGTATTGATTTTTTGTATAAAAAAATCAATATTTGGTTCCACTGGGGACTCTGGGGAACTCAAAATCATTCCACCTGCTTTAGTTACATTGAAACTCATAGCAGTGGGGAATTCATCTATTTTCAAAGCCAAAACAAGACACACTCCGCCTGACTGGCGTCGTGGATAAATATTAGGTTCCCTCGATCATCCGTGAAAATTTATTAAAAACCTTTAAAGTCTTTTTCCAAGGTTAATAAAACTGAAAGATTAAAAAACCCGTTCAGAACTCAAAAAGTTAGATAACTGGATAAAACTTTTGAAATTAAAATCAATTAACTTTTTCAGTTAAAATCTGAATCAAATATTCAGTTAAAAAAGCATTCTTATCTTAAGGTGTGAACAAAGTTAGAAAAAAAAACTCCACTCAATCTTATGTAAACAATAAAAACAAAAGCCGTTTACAAAAAAGTAGCATTTCCAATGCTACAATAAGTACGAGTGCATATCTGTAGTTATTAGAGCATTTGAAGCCTTTTTCCTGAAAAAAAATCACCAAAAACTATCTACTGCGCGTCCATGACTATTAAAAACAATTAAAAACAAGCTTACACGACGTAAAACAGCAGCAAACACTGCAAATTACTAAACAGAGAAGCGGAGCTTCGCACTAGTTGCGATACAATACAAACATAAAAAAACATAACTGAAAAAATATATAGATATTGAAAACTTTTCATAAGTCTCCATCAACAACAACTACAGGACCGGCTTAAGCTTGAGGTACGTGAGTTTGCTTAATTGATGCGGCACGAACAATGCGATTTCAAAAAATTGAACTTTGCCCAAAACATTAGTTGTTTCACCCTTAAAATAAGTGAGAAGAGTTAAATTCACAAATTTTCTAAAAAGCAGTCGAGTTCAACAAGACGTTGAAAAAAGTTCCGAAATCTCAAATAAAGTTACTCAGGGGAATTTTTCAAAAGAGTTCTATCCATTTAAACCAAAAACTTATATTTGAGAGAGGTCAAATATTCACCCACACTTTTTCGAAGGCTGTAGACAGAGGGGTCAGTTAAAAAGGGAGTATGCAGGCAGACAGAGGAACGAGCGGCTTTCAATTGATACTCACTTTATGAATTTAAGAGTTTCTGTGAAAAAAGAGAAGTTAGAAAAAATTTTCCAAAACAAAAAAAACGTAATTTCAACAAACAGATAGGTAAACAAAAAAACCCACTCGGAAAGTGCGGAGGGGAGTGCTAAAACTGTGTTAATCTTCAAGCGTCCCAAAACTAGGTCAACGAGCCGACAAAAAATAGGCCGAAATAATTTTGGCAGAGAACTTTTTTTTAGCGAAACAAAACAAAACAAAGAAGGCAATATGAAGTCAAGGTAAGTAAAACTACAAAATGTAGGCGTAAATCAAAAACTAAAACATTAAAAATTGCGCGTAGAAAAAAATTCATGTTGTGACAACTAAACCGACAACAGATAAGCAGACAAATAAATGGCCGACAGTTTTTGTCTTGAAACAGAATATTTCTAGTTTAAAAAAAACAGGTCCTGGTCAGACTCGAACCCAGGAACTTTGCCGTCACAGGCATATTCGTTACCGCCAGGTTAAATTGATCAGGAACGCTAAGAAATTTGAATACAAAATAAAACAAGGTAGAGATGAGTCCAGAAAAGTCTGTGGACAAAGTTGTTTTCGGAAAAGTCTAGTACCCGGCTGCAATAACCTTATTTATCGAAAGGTAAGCACAAGGAAAACAACAAATGTCAAAGATATACTTTTTTTTAGAAAACAATCTTTTCGAAAATTGAACGAAAACTGGAAATCAAACCACCAAATTCTATCAATACGCAATGAATCCAATATGACTGCAAGTGTTATATATTTTGTTTTGAACCAGCAAACGCAAAAACTATTCATTTCTTCAACAGATATGTGGAAGTAATGAACGTGTACATAATCAACAAACAGCTGAAAACTGTCAATGAACTCGACAAGGCAAGCTTTTTGGAAAAATTTTCAGCTTTTATTTATTCAAAGAAAAATCACATCACTTTGAAACGAGCATTTTATGATTGACATCTTTCTGATAAAAGTAAGCCAATTAGATCAAACTGGACCAATAGGCAACTCATTGCCGATTTAACTTAAAATCAATTGCATTTTTTCTCGCCGTTTGCACTTCTGTTACTGGAGATTGTAATGATCACCTTCAGCTTATCAAAATCACCTTAAGCTTAATCAACTGCTTTAAATTATAAGTAATCAAATGCAAAAGCACGTAAATATACTACGAATGCAGCCACCAAAAAAGTAGATACAACAGGTGCCATTTAATTGCACTGATTATTTTTGCGCAGAAAACCGAAGAAACATTCAGCTTGACCTAAGTGTATTGATTATCTTCAAGACAGCCAACAGAGTTAGAAATGTGTCAACGAACAAAAAAATGATTGACTTATAGACTGACAAAAAAACACGACCTAAATAGGTGAAAAATTATTTCGTTCATTAACACTTCTTCATGCTCTTCGTTCGATAACAAGAACCTCTGCTTACCTTCCTTTGTGTAGTTAGTTCCACATTTTACACATGGTCTAAGCTGCACTTTGTACACACAAGCAACCAACAACGGTAAAGAGGAGCTCTTCAACTCAGAGACGAAGAGCTTCGCAACACTTGCGATACAGCAAAAATATCCCAATACAAGATAGTGAACAGAAAAAAAGTCGAAACTTTTCCGACAAATTATGTTAAAAAAAGCTACTTTTGTTCTGAACATAATCAAAAACAAACTTAATAAGCATTTTAGTGCAGTTTACCTTCCTTTTTACAAACGAAACAAACTGAACTTGAAAGGAAATCAAAACTCAAAGTGCGATATATCAAATCTGAGGATGAACAACTTTTGCATGGAGGGAGACGAAGTCGATTTTCGCGCCATTTGCGATACCACATAAACACACTTCTGCAAGCTGGCAGACAGAAAATTGGAGTAAAGCTAATAACTCGGAAAAATGTAGCCAACAGAAGACTGTAAAAGTGCAAAAAGGATACCAAAAAAAAACATTTTTGAAATTATTTGCTCATGATTGGCACATTTTAGCAGTCAACTCATTTTAAAAGAGGATGGTTCCTATTATTGGGTCACACCCCGTTCAGCCGAAAATAAAACTGTTGTCCTAAAAATGTCAAAAGGAAATATTTAGCATTAGAAAATAACAAAAGTATTAGAAAATAATTAGCATTCGAAACGGCGCAAAATAAAATGACTATGCCGATATAACAAAAGCCGAAAAAATGTGATAGAAAAAGAATAAAATTATTCAAATTCAGAATTTTTTAAATTACAAAGCAACTATATAGCAAAAACGATTCAACTGATATAAAAACCGTTTTTTGGAAATTAGGCTGCTAAAAAGTGTACCGAATCAAAAAATAGCATTTGAAAAAAAAGGAGAAGGAGCCGACGGACATTACGTCGAAAGCCATGATTCCAAAAAAAACTAATCTTTTTTCATTTAATTTATTTGAGAAAATTATTTAGTACCTGCGACGAACTACAAGGTATTTTTAGTTGAATTTTCAAGAAATTGAGAAGGTCAGCCCAGCCTGCACTTGAAATTAATTGAGCGGTATTTTGTAACAGAAGTTGTTTACAGAAAAAAGCAGGATATTTGAAACGTAAATAACCATAATCTTTCTGTTATTAGCCCCCCGATCCTCCTCAATGCAGGACCATCCGTGGGGGAGGGGGTATGTCATCCATTTCGCCGCAGCCGGTCCCACCTTGAGGAGGCAAATGACTCTGGGACTCCTCCGACCGTGACCGAAGTGGGATTCGAACGCACAGCCCTCGTGTTGAGAGACGTGCGCCTAACCTCACTCGGCCACGGCTGCTCAAATAACCATAATCAACATAAAAATTGAAAACAGATTTGTGACTTTGATTAAAAAAAGTGAATTTATTGTATAAGACTATCGTTTATTGAGTAAAAATGGTAAGCTCGGATAGGAACAAAAAAAAATAAAAAATACGACTAAAAGGATAAGTATGAAACTTGATCTAATCGAATAAGTGACAGCCCAGACTTTGCTCACAAAAAATCGTACAGAATAGGAGCGCCCAGAGTTTTCTTATGGGTGGTTCAAAATTGTTGTGGGTGGTTCAAAATTGTTTACTAGTTCAGGTTCAGTTCTATAACCCAGTAAGAGTGAGAAGTCAACTTGAGTTCATTAGGAGCTATCAAGTGGAGACGGTCAACAAGGCAAACCTTTCATTATTGTTACCGGGTTTATATGACATTCAAACCTTTATTTATCTTAATGGCTCAGATTTTGGATTTGAGCTTGTTTGCCAGAATGATGCCAAATTAAACAAAAGTATACCAGGAAAAGCTAAGGCCGTCTGCTTTTGTAACAAGTTCAATATCTCAAGTGCTAGTCTTTGAAAAGAGGCAAAAACAAACTTCACATTTTTTTTACAAAACAAGAGATACCAGCCCTCATTTTACGTTATAAACTCAAATCTAATGTCCAGCTAAGCATTTCAAACGCGAGTAAAGTTAGTATTCCCATTTGTATTAGTATTTCGTCAATTTGGAATCATAAATTGCTTGGAGAAGTAAGACATTAATGTCTCGTATACAATAAAAACAGCTGCCACATTCGGGACTTTCTTCAGCAATTCTACTTCTATTCCCCTGTAGAATCCCTTTACTCCCTCCAGTCGGTTGATGACACGGAAACAGTCCAATAAACCAGAGTAATTCGCGTCCTTTTGGCGCATGCGAGTACGCACCACTTCTGAAGCAAACGGGAATAAAAAATCTCCTCAAAGATAGAAACCGGTGCTATGAAAACGTATAGTCTTTCCTGGCTTCATAATGCTTTCCGTTTTGTAACGATGTAACGAGCTTAGAGCGTATGAAACGCTTCCAGTAAAAATTCCCCAAAATTTCGAAGATCTTTAGATACTTCATACTGTCGAACCATATTAACACTGCAATTTGAAAATGGAAAATTTAAATGCCTCGTACAAACATCGTTTATTATAACCACGAAAAAGAATGTTTCGCCATAACCCCCGATATGCGATAATAGCGAATAGTACAGTAAGAGTGTACAAATTTTTACGCTTGTTGAAGCCAATCTTAAATACATACAAAAAATGCTTTGAACTTACTAACCATGCGGATATGCAGCACCCGTCGCGACCACTTTGGAAACTATCGCAGAGATTCCGACCAGTGCAGAATTCTTCGCGTCTATGTCCCCACTGAGGTACTTTTCCCTCCTCAGATACCACTTGATATTCTCATACATTAGGAAGTACAAGGCCGTCTCGGACAGACCAAGATACGTTGCACTGAGTCCTCGGAAGAAGCCTCTGGCACCATGCGCATGATAGATCTCGTCGAAGCATTGCTTTACAGTCACTTTCTTGGTTGATAATTGCAGCCTAGTTCTGATCATGAATAAAGGCGATATTGTGGTGGCTTGGATGAACCCGGACGATATCGACGCCGTAAGAATGTTAGCATGCGAGTTCATTGGAAAAAATATCGTGTAGAAGTCTTTGAAGACCGAGTAAAAGCCAAAATAAAGACACCTAAAATGAAACACTCGGTTATTTTCAAATCACGAAAAGAAAAAGTGATGTCGCGATTATTTGACTTACTTTGAAGGTGCAACTGCAGCCAAAGATGGAAGTAAGCCTTTGAATAAAGAAGAGAATCCTTCGTTTTTTATTGCAGACCTAAATCAATATCCATTATTGAATTTAAAAACTAATATCAAAACTTGTTTGAAAGTTCGAATGAAGATTTACAATCTTCATTATAAAGTTTTCGATCTAAAAGATAGCCAAGAGACAGTTGAAAAAAAGGCATGCACAAAGGAGCAAAAAAGAAAACTTTCGAATTTTGAAGAAAAAAAATATTTGCCCTTGAGCTCTTTGAACTTCAAGAACAATATAAGATTGACACTTGATAAAAATAACTCAATTTGTGAAGACTGGATCAAAAGGTAAAGTTTTGATTCCGCTGGAAAATCTGAAAGTTAAATTCCACTTTCTTAACTAGAAGTCGATCACGTTTTTCGTGAGCTTTACACTTTTGCTGTTCGATAGTGGAATTTTCCTTTCTTTTAACAAGGGAAATGAAGTGAACTCATAAAGAAACTATAAGTAAAGCAGCCAAAAATCAAATTTGAGCGTAAACAAATTTTTAGACTTCCTGAAAAAAAAAATCAGCCCTAAAAGAAAGACCTATCTATATAAAAGTATTCACTACGTTCATCGACTCTTAACAAGGTTGATACGATTTCGCATTTGCCAGGGTGTATCCACATATTATACATTTAGAAACAGACACTTGGTAATAACTTACCTTACAATTCGGACAACTGAAGGCTTACTGTGATTTATCCTGTCAATCTTCCCCCCTCCATCTCTTGACAAGCCTGTGTGTATCAAAAAGGGACTCATTTCAGCCATCACAGCCCTACTACTGGACGACGACTGAGGAGTTTCTCCCAATACAGACAGTGACCTGTTGAAATCGAAGTGAGCATTGTACTTGCTGCATCTCCGTGGCTTCTGGGAACACTTCTGGAATGGCAGTGAGCTGTTTGTGGAGTAGGAGTGGGATGATTGCAGGCGGGTTTTGATGACATCAAATGGACAGGCGACGGCCGCTCCAGCCATGGCCGCCACTCTAAAACATAACAAAACACTTGAACTTATCGCAAATTTAACAAGCAAACACAGTCCAGTACAATACGATGCATGACACACATGCCCAGAGGCGGATTTAGGGGGGGGACGCCTCCTTCCCTTAGGGATTCGACCCCCTGTCGACCCAAAGAGTCTTCCCTTTGGTACTTTTAAGAAATCCAATTTTGGCCGACCAACCCTAAAATTTTTCTAAAGGCGCCAATATATACTAATTTTGAGGGGGGAGCGCGCGCCGAAAAAACACGATTTTTTGGTCAAAATTTTCCAAAAAGTGCCTTAAAATGCCTTTTTTCTTTTTTGGACTATTTTTCTGGGGCGGCGCAGAAAATTTGGCCAAAACAGGGACTAAACCGGCTTAGGTAGAGCTCGAAAATCACAATTCGGTCGACCTAAAAAAAAAGGTCGACAAAACTTTCAAAAAGTTTTTGAAAATCCGCCCCCCCCCCCTCGAGAAAATCCTAGATCCGGCCCTGCACATGCCAAAAGACCAGTCCTCAAAAATATCACTGGTTGAGCTAAGATTTTATATGATGTTGTTCTTTGATGGTCTCAATTGGATTGCAAAATAACATTCGCGTCAAATAGTCGTCGGATTTGATGGTTATGCAGCAAAAAGTAGACAAGATATGAAGTAGACACGTAAGTCAATCAAAATCGAGAAAAAACAAGTGTACGCAAGGATAACCAGGACTGCTGGTTCCGATCATAATACAAAAAGTTCGTTTTTTTTTTCGATGAGAGGAACTGGACGAAAGTCTAGAATTTTGATAGTTCTAATACATTAGATACATTTGACATTTAATTTCCTCATAGAATACATTTTACAATTAAATTTCCGCTTTTTTTTCATTTCTACACTTGCAAAAAGCAGGTGTGTTTCAGCTGGTAACTAGACTTTTTTCCCCTGAACAACTTTGTTCAACAGGTATCGCAGATGTTTCATCTTGTTCTATAATAACTTCCAAATCAACCAACCACCCAGCGCATCTGGCAAAGAGGTAACACACTTGCTTGAGAACACAAAGGCTTGTGGTTCGAAAATTTTTGCTTTTTCGGACTAGCGTCCGTCGATTTATTTTTTCGGCTTATTTCCCCCTACTCAGCTTTCTTCTAGTTCAGCTTTCTTCTTAACTCCTAAGGTCAACCAACATACATATTTTGAGCATGTTTGCATTTCAAATACCCGTTCTATTCAAAGTTTGTTTTCAAATTTGCCAACTCCGGTTCGGTATAATTTCCGTTTTTATTTTTTTCCACAGTCTTAAGTTTTTCAGTTTATACCTAATCGCTTTCACAGTTTCATATTGCTTCGCTGTATTCGCGAAACAAGTTTCTCATACGTGCAATTTTTTTTTTGAGCGGGTAATTTAGAATTTGTGAAAGTTTCAAAATTTTCTTATAAAAAGATTCTTATGAAAACATTCTTTTTTTGGCTTTGTTACCACTTAGAACGTTTTCAAAACATTTTTTACTAAGCGACTTCCTCAATTTCTTCCTGATAGTTTTATCATGCTATATTTTTTATCATGCTGTATCAAAAAAGATTCAAAGCTCTGCTTCCCCTCTGTGTTTAAACTTTGTTCCCAAAAAGAAGCAGCACTGAGTTTTCACGGCTGAACTTGATGTTTAAAACTACTTTTATAAGCTTATTATAAGCTTATTATATTCGCCTGAAATTAAGAACATCAAAAAATTCAAGCTTGTTTTTCTCAACACTGAGAAAACTTTTGTTTCACGGCTGCAAGGGCTTTAATATGAAATATTTCGGAAGTTTGTTTTTATTCCGATTCTGATTAGCATAAGACGTATCTACTTTATGACGTCTACTTTTTGACCGCACTCCAGATTTGATGGAGCTGAACTCACCCGCCGGATACGGAGCATGAAGCAGCTACCTGCATCAAGATAAGAACTGCCAGCCGTGTTTACTTTAAAAGTTTATATCGAAGCAAAATTTATAACGAGAGAAAAATTAACTCGGGTATTTAGGCCCAACGAATCAAAGAGTCCATTTTTTAATCGAATTTCATCCTGATCGGTCTACTGTTTGTAGTGAAGGCCAAGACAGTTCTTCATAATAGTGCAGAGACCTGGCATATTATTAAAAAATCTAAATTGGTGTTCAACTGTGTTGATTGAAGGCGTGCATATCCACAAAATGCAAACCAACGATTGTAGCAAAACAATAAGATCAAACAATTACAACGTTTAATTCTTGTTCACTCGCCGAGACCACTTACTTTACGCTCTGTTCGTGAACAATAACTTCGAAATTCATTCACTGAGATATTACTATATTAACCAACATTACAAATAGACCTAATTGAAAGACTATGTTAATATTACACTACACGACTTGGTATCCGCACCTTTACGTTGAAGAATGATTTGCTTACCCGCCCGCGAATGATCCGAGAAGAAACTTCGTTTGCAGCCCTACCTCTCGGCTCTCAATATCATTTATGTCACGAGTCTTAGTCCACATCATTGGACTCCGACAGGTTCCAAAATAGAGCAACTAAGTTTATTTGGTCAGAACACTGAAGGCTTCGGAAAGCTAAAACTGCATCTGAACCGCCTTGGTTGTAGAGCGGACAATCAAAATACCAATCAGCCCAGCTCACTTGCAAACTAACCTGAAACATTTGCAAACCATATGCAGAAGATAAAGAATGTAGTTCATAAAAACTACTGAATACATATCTCGAGTGTTCATAAGATTTCAACTTTAGACTCTGTTGAGCCAAATTCATTGCAGAAAATATGGTTAATACAGGTCCCAAATATCAAGCTTCGAAAGTTTTTTTTTCGAAATGGAAAGCTAGACCTTGTATTATTTATTTAGGCCAGTATTTAATCTTTAAATGCGATCGATTAGAAGGCATGTACGCTGATTTAAGAAAATCCAAAACAGAACCAAATGAACAGACATGACGGTCATGGCCTTTTCGAGATAATCGCGAGTATACATAGTTGCACTCAGACCAAAAACTTAAAAAAAACAAAAACTACCGATTGCTATGCAAGTAGCACAGAATGTTCAGACCACAATGATTGAAAAAAAACAAGACTGCTCGTATATCAGGGCAAAGGCCTGAATGTTCCGACTGCCTTCAAGGTATATGGAGCAGCAACAACATGAAAAAATTAAATGTGATAAAACAAAATGATTTTTTTTTTTCAAATTTGAGATTTTATGAAAATCATCCCCCACACCCTAAATAAAGTACAAAGTGATGGAGTTCGCTCTTATTAACAACGGCAAATACGCTCCCTTCAATCAATTTGGAATGATTTCTAAG